ACTGGGGTCGGTGCGCTTGGCGCGTCGTCGGAGTCACTTGAGCTCATTACCATTAGAAAAGACAAAGTGGGTATATTGAGGTCCTTAGTTCACTATCCGAGTTACCTCTTAGCCTTTCCTATGGCGTTATTCTGGGTGCAATCTTGACGCGTCATCGTGGGCGCAATCATGTCGTCCTATGGTCTGGAATTCGATCGCGCATCGTATGTTGTAAGCCGTTCTTCTAACAGATGCAAGCTCTGCAGACGTTGGATCATGTTGTAGGTGACAAAAGGGTAGTTTCAGCTGAGCAGCTCGGCAGTATATGCATTTCTTGGAAGCCGGACAAAACATTTGATTCATTCGTTTCTCCATCGCTCTTAGCTGAGATGCACGAAGGGTCAAGCTTTCACGCCAACGATATTGGTGAGCCCATCAAGGAGAAATTTTAGATTTTAGTAGGCGCAATAAGGCCAACTGTAAGAACATAGCCCTCTGTTCCACTGCACAAAGGTCGTGGTAAATGGGATCCAGCTCTAAATGGAGCGACCAGCTCTGAGAGAGGTGCTGCTCGCAACACAGGGATAATTGTTGTTTATATCAAAGTCTCGTATTCTATGGATCCTTTAAAGGTCGGATATATTTAAGACTGGTTGTACATACACATACGATGCGCGACTGCCGAAACAGTAGACAGTGTGCGGAGGTAGTGATGATTCTACGTACGAATACGATATCTGCGCGTCTTGCGACGGGAACACTGGTAAGTGTGTAGAAAGATTTGTCTTCAAGTGACGTTTAATAACTTTGATTACGTAGAGCCTTGTCTTGTCCAGGACCTAGACCTAATCGTGCGCGTCTTATGGGATTCTTGTACTTCTGGTGCCACGCACATATACCTGATGGAGCATTTTTGGGTCACAAACGACAGCTACCAGGAACCCGAGGCGTTTTTGGCGCGGACGCGAGCCTACGACAGCTTGCGTGCGAGGTATGGAAATATTCGAAACTACCGATTGTTTTGCTAGGTTTGCTGAGCAGAGCTAGAAACCAAAAGCTGCATTACGACGAATTGCTAGGATAAGTAAAGCAAAGGAAAATTATAACACGCTGTCACTAGAGTGTATCTCTGAAAGAAGTGGGCACCTGCGTGTCCAGAGTGTGTTCTTAGCGAGACGAACAGAATAAGTATGATCTGACGACCTCTGTGCCAGAGCGGATAGCGAGTAAAAGGGACTGGGTGTCGCAATGGAATTGGTCTCGGGGACACTTGTGGATCACTGGGTGTGTGGCGTGGACCAGCCTTCTTCAAGGATCATTCGGATCCTTTCTATCCCTTTTTGGAGAATATCGAGGCGTGGTGACGATATATCGATCACACAAGTCACCTTAGAATAAGGAAGTGCGTTATCGAATTTACATATGCTTTATTTTAAAAAGAAAATCTCACATTAAGTATAGACTTTTTACAAGGGATCAATTTTGATATCGCTGACTCTTTTACTTATGCAAGACACAACTTGGGTCGGATGTGAAAAAAATATCGCCACCCTCGACCTTGACGTGTCTCAGAAACATACATCAAGTGGTAAGTTCATTTCACGTGATATGTGATGTTTCTGCATTTGCAATCGGCTGCTTTGCCTCAAGCATGAATATTTTAAGAGCGTACCAGCTGAAAGTTCGGCGGAGAAGAACAACCCTGATCATGACAGTGCTTAGGTGAATGTGTTAGCCTTAAGCCGCTTGTGAAATATTGCGACCATGCATCGCAACAAATCGCATCGCTGCAAATAGCTAGTTAGAAGAACAACCCTGATCATGACAGTGCTTAGGTGCATGTGTTAGCCTTAAGCTGCTTGTGAAATATTGCGACCATGCATCGCAACAGATCGCATCGCTGCAAATAGCTACTTAGTCAAGAAATATCTTACAAATCATGGCAAGATAGTGATCCATGTTCCGCAAAAGAGTATACCCTCGAGGCGAAATAATAAGCTGGGAAGGTTCAAGTAATAGCAGATGCGCTTCGCGTACCCCCAACACTAAATTGTCGCAAATGAAGATATGCATAGCTTATGTGCCGGACGCAATATGCATTGCACAGCGAAAAGCTTTTGAGACTGGAATAGCTACTTAGTCGCAAAATATCCTACAGATCATGACAAGATAGTTATCCCTCACTGGTGGATATGCCCTCGAGGTGAAATAGTAAGCTGAAAGAGTAAAATGTTACGGCAGATGCGCTTTCGCGCCCCCCAAACACTTAATTTGACGATACGCACAGATAACCTGCCGGACGGAATATGCATTGCACAACAAAAATCTTTTGAGACTGGGAATTTGAAAATCCTGGTGGTGTTTTACAAAGCGCGCGCTTTCACGCCTGTTTCGCTATGCATCATCGCAAAGCTTGCTGTACTGCAGCATTGGCCCACATGACCTTCCGCGTATAGTGATGCCTCATGATAACGCAAATTCGTAATGTGGCTTTGGTGTGCGACATGCAGAACGTGCCCAGGGTTTTCGACACTTTGTTTGCTTATGCGTCAGATAAAAAGTAAGGACTCCGGTAACCTAAGCAACTTCACAAGATCGATTCGTAATTACAAGCGAAATTTTGAACGATAATTACGTTGTGTATATCTTCGGTATAGCGAACCGAATACATTATGCATCAGCACTTCGTGGTGAGACAATATAAGAACAAGTCCGGCTTGTTAAAGCAGAAGCAGCGTACAACGGTTTTGCTGATAGTATAAGACAGATGAAAATTTATAGTCAACGAGGGGTAACGCAACCAGGATGAGTCAACTCAGCGTATGCGGACTACCACATACATCATGCTTCCATAGTTAATTACATTACCGCCACCAATACTTATGAAAAAGCGATGCAGAGCGAGACTTCGTAAATTGCTTAATTTGACATTTCACAGGTTAAATTACCAATTATACGGCGAAACTATTCTAGAAGAACATGGTCTATCGACCATGATTAGACCAAAGGATACGGAAAACCGCGCCACCATAGTATGAGATTAACGAGCCTAAATGTAGTCCGCTTGCTGCGAGCGCCACACAACCATGCGCTTTAAAAACGGAAGGAAATTGCAATGTAAAGCGTAAAACTATACGAGATCGCCACAAAATATGTTCCTGGTTTAAACGCTATCCAATCATGGATATTTAGCGTCAACATAATTTGAGGACATAATGATGCAGACAGAGGATATAAATTGTCGGTGTTGCTACTGCAATGTAGGGACATGGCCAAAGGACCCTAATAAGGATATTGCCTTCGAGCCAAACTAGTCCTTTCTTCACTACATTTAATGGGTGCCCCCTTACTATAGTTTTTTTTAGATTCAAATTGCAATGGCGTGCTGGGGAAAACAACTGGTATTCTCATTTAAATGCATCGGGGTGGCGTGATAGATCACTTAAAGTCCGATAATACTCTTTTATACGGGTCATTGCGATAGTACACATACGTTACACAAGGCGCTATGGGTCACTACTTAGACTCCTTTCAACCATGCTGCGATGGGGTCCAAATTAAAAAGGTTATACAAAGTTTACGCAGATAACAACTGTTGATTCCGCCAGCATCTTTTTCATCGGCAAAAGGGGGTCTTTGCTGATTTTATTTTGTTGTATTGGCGAATATTGACACCATAATGCAAGTTGCGAAACAGGTATGTCGTTTAGATATCAGAATCGAGCACACAGTACGTTAAAGGTCGTCGACTTGATGTTCAAAATATATGATGATCCGTCAAGACCTGGAGAACACATTGCTTCATCGGTGTCCTCGTGTAATGAACTACACTTAGACATTGCATGAAGGTTCATTCATGGACCTCTTGTAGGCATTGTCGGTATTAATGAAAGAAGATGTTCCCAAATGCATACGTGATCTCTTTTCCGACGTCACAAACATTCTGTGTGATACAGAATGCTGGTTCCTACTTAGGTTTGGTACTGGTGACGAGGCCGACGTGTCTCTGTCTAAAGAAGTGGGTGGCGTAAGCAAGTCCCTTCTGCTGAGTACTTTCCACGAAAGTTGAAGTTTAAGCTTTCGTAGTGATTGGTGTAAGCCATTCCCTTCTACTAACTTCTTTCTACAAAAGTTGATATTCAAGCTTACGAAGTTCAAGCTCCGTACACACCAGATCTTGAATCAGTTGACAAGGGTTTTCCCCTCAGTGTACGCTTTGATTTAAAAATCACGAGCTCAAGGTTTTATCCGTAAGACCTTGGGGGGGCCTTGAGGTGTTTTGCATGTAGCTAGGAACCATAACTCATTAAATTCAGTTGAATATTTAACTTTGAGGTATTAAAGCGCTCTACTTATTACCAAATCGCAAATTAATTGCTTCCTCGTCGCACAAGCGCGCATTGTGTTTGAGGGACTTTTTGTGATTCACGCCCTCTTCCACCACGTAAAGGTCGCAATGATTGGAGATGACAACATAAGTTAGCATCGAGATATACTGCAGTATATACGTGATCATCAATAATTAAGGCCGTATAAAACTCACGCATCGTACGAGTTTCACTATACCCGCGACTTCTAGCCAACGGAGGGTTGGCTTGGATATTCACGGATTAAACGATAGAAATATTTCTGGCAGGGTAAAATACAAATGTCATTACGATAACAGGTGACTTATCGACAAAATCAGAAATAAATATCATCGGCTCTACATCAAAGTAATATTACTAGGACCAAAGAACTAAGTGCGAGTAAAACCAAATGGGTGGGAATTAAAAGTGTCAAAAAGAGATTCACATCTGTCAATGCTGAGCACTTAATAATGCAAATCTCAACGCAGCCACCTTACACTAGTGATTAGTGCGATATTGCAATCTAAATATGATCGAAATAATTTCATTTGATGCATTCAGTACTGACGCCTAATTGCAATTTGTATTAAAAAAAATAAGTTTGATTCAAATCTAGGAAGCCTGCGTCACATTTACCGATTGTACCAAGATGTGATGGCCATTGTGACAACGTATCAAAAAGTAGTCGTCTTTGTGACAATTACATGTCAAACTACATGAAACAAATTTACTCAATTGAATTTGGACGAAACGCAAAGCTCTCAAGATCGTTCTGACATTGGACCCAAAGAATGGCAGCAAAAGCTTAAAGCCGTTTAATAGTTTTAGGGCGCATTGTAGCTCAGATACACACGCTCATATCCTGATCATTCATTTTTGAGGATGATAAACCACACAAACTGAAATCACTAGATTTCAGCTGAGCTACCGGACGATGAAACCTCTCAACAAGGCAATTATCTACTGCATGATAAATGGTCCCTGTGACACTGCAAAGCAAATGTCACTTGCATGAAATATGGCAAATACTCGAATGATTTTCAATGCCATTGGTGGAAGTAACGTATGTTACCGCTGATGGATATCTGCTGCACTAGCGAGGGCGACGACTAAAAGGGTTATTCAGGCTACAACGAAGGAGAAAACGACAACTGCACATCAAATGGATAGGTTGTGCCCTCAAATTAGGATCTCTCGCAAAAGTTTAATTGCCACATCAATGTAGAGGTCTATACTGCGATCCGAGTTGCCGTATCTGCAAAAGTATTTGTACAACAGATCTGATAGTTATATGATGACAATCGAGACAATCAGCGATCTTAAATGACAGGAAAGACCTGAACCAAACGAGACCAACCGATTTATTTGATGGATATACATGTCGCCAGTGGATGCGTGCATGTGCTTTTTTCTCTTTTTGGTGCATAGCAAAACACATGCTATACCTCAGCTTACCGTACACCTGGATGGGTTACAACTCACCACTTTACACAAAAGCGATAGAGCTAGCCGTGTCATAACACTGTAATATAATACAATCACACCATGCTTACTTCGTATTTTTGAATGGCGCACAAGCGATGAATCCCATAACAATGTCTTAACAACTAATTCAAATGTCTGGAAGGCATTCGAGCGGATACAAACATAAAATTGGATTAAGGAAATTATGGCAGCGTTTGAACTCAGGCCTTACGTTACTCCAACGAATTCGAAACATCGTATTTAACGAGCTTATTTTTGCCATTACAAAAAGTCGAACATTTAGGATGATCTACGTTCTGCTGGTGGGCTTAAGGCGTCTGCAAAATTTTCGGATGCTACCCTGTTATTGGAAAATCTTGAAAGCGATGCAGCTTGAGTATTGTGCATGATTATGAGCGCAAACTTCCATTTCTAACTAAATCACATCGCTGCAACACTCTTGCTGTACTACCAAATCGCAATGATGCGAATACATTGAGACAGAATCCTCGCGGATTGGCATAATACGTTGACTATAGATTCTGCACACTACAATGCCGGGTTGGAGATTAAAGTTCACTTTTACAGCGCTATCAAGTCTCCGCCATTTTACTCCAATCTAGCAGGTCTGGCGTTGAAAAGTTTTATTGACATCATCCACCAATTTCTTTATTTGGTTCTGTAAGTAGTTCTATAAAACAATTTGTTTTGTCGGTAACTAGGACGTCATGATCATAACCTCTTTTGATAGGTTCTAGGTAAATAGCCTGCGTGAGCGAGGATCCAATCAAAATATGAAAGTCAAATATAAATGGAGTCGAAACCAACAAGATGGTGCCTGCTTTCATTGACGGATGAAGAAGCACCAGAAAGTCAATGCCTCTGAGTCTCAAATTAGCAGAATTCCGCTTGACAGGGATGATCGTCATTGGAGTAGGTTCATGTGAGACTTCTTTTGCTTCATTAGTGTGCGGGCATACAACCGTCTCTATGCTTGATATACCCACTCAAACTTGACGAACAGTCAACTTGCTCAATCGTTAGCATTTGCGAAGGTCAACTTGATTGCTTGGGATAAGGATCCGACTACATTTTGACATGACTTTGAGTCTGTTGATCTACGTTGGGAAACATATGCAAGAAAAAACTAAAGCTATGGGGGGGGTAATGAGCGTACTTTTCTGTATTTTTGTGAGAATCGTTTCGGTAATTCTACAAAATACTTCAGCGGTAGCTATAGATGCCTGCTCAAAACTAGTCACATTTAAGGGCAGATACTCGCCATGTTCATTGGACGAAAAACCTCACTTCGATAAAGATAAATCCACTGCTAACCAGCTGTCGGTTCTGATGTAAAATTGGAGTAAGCAGAACAAAAGGAATTTGGTGGTAATCAAACCTTCAAACAACATGTAGATCGACAAACCGGTTGCTGTATTTATGGCTAAGAAGAACCTGATAGGTCATACACATAATCGGAGTTCAATTGTATGGATCTGGTCGCATCATCAAAAGAATGTTCGCGGATATCAACAACTCGAAATTTGCGACGGACGTTATTTCACTTCCGCAGTATACAAATCACACCAAAAGTCTAAATGCGTCGATTAGCGATGCTGCTGAGAAAAAGTCGAGCCAGCAAACTCATGAGTTTAATCGAACGGTTTAATGTTCAGATACAGCAGAGCGCTTTTATTTAGTGTGAAGTGGATACTTTTAATCTAAAGAGATTCCAGCCTGGATAAACTGGTTTGACTGAAGTAGTTTGGGCTATTAATTTGACTTTTGTCATTTGAAGTAGACAGATAAAGCAGACGAAGAATCGAAAAGATCTACAGAAAATTTGCATTTATGAGACTTATAAGTGCACCGCATCGAAGTGTTAATAATAGCAGCACTACATCAATACAAATAAACAATGACGATAAATGAAGACTTCTCGACGACGCTTAATTATGGTCTGGTCTTCAAAGATGAAAAAATCAGAGTAGTACCAAACATCCGGCTCTCATAATACTAAATTCCACATGTGCTTATGTAGACATTGCACGTGCGACTTTATCCGGCCCGATTATCAAATTATTACGCTCTCACGCTCATTAGATTTGATTACGTTTCACATGACACTACCCAGCACAACAGCTGCAAGTACGAGCGCTACGCGCAGCACAAACTCACACATAAATCAGGGCTGTTTTCGGCGAAGACGAAATAGAACATCACACGAATCGCCATCACAATTCTTGAATCTGCACACGTTGACCTTGGTGCTTACCTATCAAAATCGCTGCATGTATAACGGGGTTACACGTACCCTCGTAACAGGGGTATGTTTCACACGAGATGTGCATGGTGTGACTGCACCCAGACAAGATTACGGTATGTGGCTAGGTAGCCAGTAGTTATGCATGTATTTATATTTTAATATATATATTTAGAAAGATCTATACATTGAACATTAGGCGGTTTAGTCGCAGATAAAAATAAATAATAATCAGTTTGATTTTAAACCGAAGAGTTTATTAGCCTTGGTCAGGGGAGTAACTACTCTTGGAGTTAGCGGATTGCGATCCTCTACACTCGTATTTGTTCTTGTAAAGAACGTAAGGTCGGTGAGCTAAATGACGCTTCCTTAAGCACTAAGCTACGGCAGCCCCGCTGCAGCATGAATACATTTGACCCGCTAGCCCAAAGATGGTTCGCGTTACACAGTTCTAGATATGGATTTAGTTTTCGCCTCATTATATTGAAAACGTCTAGGTACAACCAATTTTTGCAATAACGGTAAGTAAAACACAAATTCAAACGGTGCAGAATCTTAGCATATAGAAAGGCTTCTTTATGGAAAGCTATGCGTAGCTATGTCCAGAGCCTTTTGTTCTAGAGTCCAGGCATTGATTGAGAATCCTGAATGGAAAGTTGAGAGTATCTTCGACTAAGAAGCAAAAGATTAGTGCATCTCTCATTCTCAAAAGCACAAGTTTAATAAACTAATTGAGTAATGCCACCTTTTTGTAAATTTGTTATACTTACGATGTTTGTGCTCCGGTTGCTGCGAAACATCGCCACACATATAGATTGATATATATTGTCAAAGTGCGGACTTAAATAGGTAGGTATCAGAACGAGCTAAAACAGCGAGTGACACGGGTTGAGCCTTACATACAAATGCTGCTCAACGCGGGTGGCGCTTGGCTTGTTGTACAATTGTACGAATTTTACATTGCACTTTTGTCTAACTGAAAATATTCATAACTATCAAAATATTGTAATCTATATAGATGATTCTGTGCGTCAATACAATATATATATTAAAAAAAACATATTAACTCTAAATTTAAGTCTCAAATCTCTTTTTTTATAAATGCTTCTTTTATGAGTCAAAACTTCACCTAGGCAAAGTGCACAGCACTCCACTTCACAGCATCGGACATAAGGACCGGTCTATAGACTATTCCAAGTGTATTAAAATTTGCTCTTCGATAAACCTCTGCTTTTTATGAAAACGTTGAGTTATACGGGCGGCACTTCAAATGAGTTTGTTTTAGTATTCAAGTTATTGCTATACTTGCAATGATTTTAAAACAAAGTCGATGATCTATACTTGCACATCGAATCACAAGTTTAGCAAATCGCCTTCGGGGAAAAAGTGCAAGCGGTATAAGCAATAATTGTGCAGAAGAGAAGAGAAGTAGCAACTTAAATCCAACGCCAAAAAAGACCATCTCGAAGTTGGTCCGAGCTTGACGATTCTTATGGCTAGCACTACGAATTCCCTCTCAAAAACTCCTTCGAGACCGAAACCCTTTATACAAAACATCTCTGCTGAGATAGCTCTCAGAACATGCATACCTTACACTATGCAGTCTTAAAGACTGAGAGCATGTTGCTAAATTTATATCTTTCTGGCTGTCTTGGTTTCAAATTGGCTATCACCTCATTTTTGGAATTTGTTGAGTCTTTGCGTTCTGACATCTGTTAAAAGATCAAGCGAATCAGATGTGCATATGTTAGATAATGCATATGCATCACTCGTTTGGCATAAGCGTGGCTTGTGTAATCGTGGTCCTTTACCTGGCTTACAAGTCGAAGTTATACAAGCTGAGGTTTGATTTCCTCCCGTTGGCCAAATCCAAAACAGATCACCGAACAAAAGACTGTTTTCCGCACCGAAGTCTTTCAATTACGATTGCTTGGATCATCAAAGTGTTACATGAAAGCCTTAAGTCTTCGCTCGAGCCCCACAGCAGCATAAAAATTTCATTCTATTTAATCTTGCAACTTTTCTTCATAAGTACAAGACCAAAATAAAAATGCACTTTTGATTTTTCCTGGCCCAAAACAGTAATCATTTCTGGTAATAGAATTAACACAAGGTTAAGTTTTCCACACAATCTTGCGGCCGTTAATCTTGACGTTTACGACAGAAACATGTTGTCACTGTTAAGGTACTGGATATGGGTATGATCGTTGTATCTCAACTCTTCAATAAAAACCTTCAGTTAAATTTCACTACCTCTATTAACTAGTCAGCGAATGACGTGACTTACGGATTCGATCTCTAAATGATTCCAATAATATCCAGACAGTGTTTCGGTGACTGCTTTCCAGTTTACCCTTCCTTTAACTGATGCTGCACTACTTTGCACAGACGCAATGCCTAGACCTCAGCCTTTTCGCCGAGCTAAAACACTTTATTCTACAGTAAATATGTAATTGCCAGTCCTCACAGTCGCTCTCTTACCTGTCTGCGCTCCCTGTTTGCTCCGATTATACACAATCCAAATGTCTTTTCGCAAATCTTAACGATGCATTTTCCGGAAGTGTTGCGTGATTCATCCCCAGAAAGGTTCAGCCTCTGGATAGCCAGGTCTATTTCGATTTCGCGGAAAAACGACTGCTTACGGCAGTTAGTTAAAGAGCAAGCGCAGTAGAGGAGATACCGTAAGCTTTTGACATAATTTGTGAAGGCTTGAAAAACTATTGTTTTTTTAAGAATAATTTGACTTCATTTTTAATAATGTGGTAAAATTTTTGATGATTTCCCCTTTGTTTTTCTAAATTCCTGTTTCAAATTTGTAGCCAGCGACCGAATATTTGTACTGTACATGGAATGAGGCCAGTATTTCGAATCTGTGCTTTCGTATAAGACCGAACTTCCAATATACGTAACCAATGCAATCTCTTTATTGCGAGGAAGCTTGTACATGGTGGAGCCTGGTCGCAGTGGTGCGAGTACAACCGTTAAAATCAAGCAAATTAGGACCGACAGTGGCTCTTCTCATGAAAAAAATGGGCTTCACTTTCGCAAATTTCACGATAGCGTCTGTACCGGTTTTTTCGTTAGTACCTTTTGCGAATCTCATTTCTTGATTGACAGGACAGCAGCACCGGACCGACCTTCCCATTGACAGCGCATTGCGCGCTAAAGCCGCGAACGATCGAGCATCTGCACGCAAATCTTGAAGACAAGAGCCACAGACCAATCGTTGAGCTTTCCGCAAAGGTCACAACAGACGCTCCAGTCAGCAGCGGCCCAACGTCGCGGTCCTGGCCGCCAGAAGGGCAAAGAGCGAATTGACAATTTCAAGCTCACTTGACTTTGTGAGGTTTCATAGTGGCTGGATGACGATGTGCAATAGACAGCTTCAGGACAATTTTATGACCACTAGTAGCCAACAAATGGCACTGAATGCGACTAAAAACAAAAATTGGAGGGCCAACTACCTGCGAGCGCTCAACATCTTTACGCCGGACGTGAAGTGCAGTCAATGTGGACCGAATGAAAGTAACAGGGATCAATGTGCAACAGCGAACGGAAGACTCACAACGGATGAGAGGTCGTGTCGGCTGGATAGTCACAATAAGGATAGAGGACGGTCAGTTGTCTCAGTGTCATCGTCTGCTTGGCAAAACAGCAAGTTAAGGCCGTCATCTAAGAGCAAGCGAAACACAACGCCATTAAAAGACAAGACGACCTCTTGTATGCTTGGAATGCGGTCGCATTTATTTCGACAGCGAATGGTGGCACCCAAAAACGAACTTGTGGGAAGGGACCGCGTGTCTGCGCCAATCGAGATCCCCACTGGGTCGCCAACAGCTTCCTCTTGTCATGGAAGTCAATTGGTAGAGTCTCGTAAGAGCCACGATTTACAAGAGTCAGACGACCCGACACAGTCTACAATGCAACTGTTTTCGTGGGAGGAGCCATCAGTGATGCTTGGCAATGGCTGCTGGCCCCTCGAAAGTGACAAGCGCATCTGCACCAAAGGTGTGGGGCTAAATAGAAACGAAGGCCGAAGATGGGTTTCGAGGCTGTTTTCTAATTCTGACGACATTGTTGAAAATCGTGAGGATGCTGACTTCGAAGGCTCGACAATTGCAGAAGACGATGACGACATATTTAAGATGGAGGTTGACGAAGGAAGCAACTCCACCGCTCGTAGAAGCGTATTTAGGGACAATCGAACGACCAACACAAAACGACGAGGGGATATCCGACCGCACCGACCTGGTATTTTGGATGGTTTGGATGGGAATAATGGTGTAATGCCATTGTCTGCTTCGTTTGTGCCACCACACCAGATGGTGCAACGTGGGTGTTTTTCATTAGGTCTTCGCGACCAATTGAAACGAAAACCGGGTGTCCAGATATAGGATAGTAACTACTGCAGAAGCACATAAGGGAGAACGCTTTTTGTGAAGACCGTTTAGTCGATTTTGGCTCAAAGTTAAAGCATACCAACCCAACGGTGACGATAAATCTGAAGCGATTTTCTGTGATTTTTTGAAATTTTGAGTTTGTTAGAAAAATTGTTCACAAGAGTCCGTGGCGAAAATATTGTCTAGCCTTCTTGAAGTGTTAACACAACGCAAAGTATACTGAAACATTACATCATACTTACTATATTACATAGGAGAACCTGAAGGGGTGCCTAGTCCACTCTCTTCTAAAGTAGAGCCTGAGGCTGCTGACTGGCTTGCAACCTGTGGAATACGGCTGTCCTGGTTGCGCGCAAAAAAAATCTTTCGTCGAACAAGTTGTTTAGGCAGCACTTCATACACGGCCACAGGCATATTCACCTGAGGAACCATATAGCCGCATATATAATCGACCGAGTAGTCCATTGTAAGAGAGTCCTTGTTGGTCATTAACCAGTCAGCAATTCGTCGCGTGACCAGGATTTGGCCACCCGCTGCAATGTCACTCACTTCACTAGCTATGACCTCCGATGCTCCAGTGTAGACTCTTTTTCCAGTCACTGCGTGAGTACTGTGATGGAGATATCCATCCGAACCCATGGCATCGTGAACTCCCATTCGTACACGCAGTCCCTGAAAAAGAACACGGTGACCGGCTCGCCGCTTCTTAGTCGCTGGATTGAGGCTATGAAGTTCTTTTGGCCACTCAGCACCAAGTAATTTGACTTGAACTTCGAGACAGTAAGAGACAGCTTCACGAATTGTATGAAAAGCTAGCTGAAAAGAGTCACCCGCTGTTGTAATTTCATACCCTCGATAAGGTTCCAATAATGAACGGAGCGTATCGTCGTGCACTTGTGAGGCCCGTTGCATAACCTTACCGTCACCAACACCCCATATTGCACATGATGATTCGATATCAGTGACAACAAATACTGGATTCAAAATTGGCGGATCTACTGTCACGTCACGGTTATAAAGGTATGGAATGTCATCGAGGGTCGAATCGACTACGAGCTGAACAAGCTTGTCATCGGAAATACAGCATCCACATATTCGTAACATACAAGATTGACTGCAGCCTGTACAAAGTGCTAGGGCCAAACCAGTTGCATTATACATAACTTGACTGAGGCCTATGTAACTCAATATGGCGTCATCACGAGGAGAGTGGACATATGTGAACAATGACGTGGCTGCAAACTGGATTGCAAACAGTGCGTATGCAATCATAATCCATTTAAGTCGTTTGTAAACTGGCGAGGTCTCAAATTGGCCATTAATCGTCTCGACATTGCGGCCCTTGCATTTAAGTCGAAACAAAACAGCGCCCATATACACAATCGTAACAATCTGTAAGATGTAGATGCACAGCCTTAGTCGATAAGTATAACCCGAGTACCCGCGTCCAAGTACACTTAATAGAACCACCGCAATTAAAAAAAATCCAATGAGTCCATGGCCAACTACAATATACATTCGAATTTTCGCTTGTTCTTTAATCGCGCCACGATCCATCGATTTTGCTGCAATTTTCGAAAGTTCATATGTAAGTGGAAACACCCACAAGGCGACAGCAAAGTGCATGACGTCGCAGTAACAAAGAACGGCGGTCGGAATGAACCTGCGTGTAGCCATGAGATGTGTCGTAGCGTACATACCTAGTTGGTCCAATTGCTTATCTGTATACGGGATGACGCTATAGCCGTCGACGAACTCCCTGTTTGGTAGCAAAACGACCCAGAGATAATAACCGGCACGTCCAAGTGTGTAAAGCCATAAGTAAACAAAGAATGTAAGGAACAACCATCGAACGCTAGAGACTCGAAAATCCCAGTCGCGATATAACTTGATTGAAATTAGCATCGATGCAATGTTCGAAAGAAAAACTGATGTTAGACCCAAATAAGCCCAAGTCATCGCCATTGCGATAGCTAAATCTCGGTTGAGGATGCTACAATAGCAGGAAGAGGAGACTTTGTATACCTACGTACTAGCATGCGCAAGTCGGTGGTAATACCGATCGTAAATTGCTAAATGTTCTGGCTGTTCTGTCTGCACAGTTTCCTATGCAAACGTGACAGGTTTAAAATTCTCCATCTGGCACACCCATCTTGTTTTCTTGTTTAGGGGAGAACGATGTATGTAAGTCTGAACATCTCAAAAGCTATGACTTTAATATGTCGCTTGAACAGTTTACAAAAGTGTACCAATCGAGTATCAGGGTTTACACCTGGCCATGATTATCCTGGCGTAAAGAATAACAAATGTTGACAACAGCTGTTGTTTTCTTTCCCACAACGGACCCAGCAATCTTTCTCTACTTCGTAATTGTTAGTCTGAGTTATCATGTAATGAACACAATTATAGAACGAAGCACCTAAATATATTTGACTTTTTGACACTCACATTACTTTTGTTTGCTGAGATAGCCTTCAAGTTAAGGAAAATTCTTTGCACGGCTGTGAAATAATCAGTATACACATACATCTCGCAGGTCAATGAACCATGCAGACAAAGCCAGGTTGAAAGTGCTCTACGACCAGCGGCAAATGTGTGAATTATACTACTTTTGAGTTGCCAAAGCCGTTAGAATTGTGCAGTTTCTCTTAACTGGTGAGACATCACATACATGAAAAATTTACTTTTTGCGGCCAGAGCTTAGAAGTTTGCAAAGTACATTAAGTTCAATTTGGCATGTAGAGCTTATAGACAGTGCTTTTTGTGAATGAAAGCATCTGTTTTGCCAGTATAGCTACCGGTAGATTAGATAAATTACTGGTATGAAGCATGTCACTGCATTTAAATGACATTTTTTGACAATGATCGGCTTCAAGTACGTCGTGGCTAAGTCGCGGGAGCTGTCATCTGTAGTAGAGCGGGAATTATCGGCCACTAGCAACCGCTCAAACCCCTTCACATCTGGGGTCATAAATTCAACGACTGATCCACCGTCTGAAAACGATGTGACGGTTGCAGCAGAGGCTCATGAAGGATCCGGTCGCAATGAAGGTCAAGAATTTCTTGTTGCCCAGCACAAATTACAGGCGAAGGCTGAACTAAATCATCAAAAACTCATGCTCAGGTGAATGTGCTCGTTGTTATGCACAATAGAAAAGAAATTATATCAGCTGACACTTCTCTCGTGTGATTACCGTTCTGTTAAAGTGGCAAAGAACTTGACATCGCCTTGAGCCAGACACGTACTGCGCTACACGCTCAAGTCGCCAGTGAGCGATTTTTGACTCAAAATTTTCATTTGGTGTCCAAAGTACGCGAACAGCTCGAGGGTATCCGGACTTTAGTGGTTAAAATAGCCGAGAAAGCCGACGAGGTGGAAATGCTACTATTACAACGCTGTGAAGAGAACGCAGCCCGCCAGAATGCTGAGTTTGCGGCCAAGCAACAACACGAGCTTGAGAACTTTGAAGCTCAAATTGCTCAGGAGTCCGAAGGTCGCAAGCGCGAGGAATTGGAACTGAGACGGCAAAAGCTCTATGATGCTTTTATAAACGATCTCCATGCATATCAAAAGGTGATAAATCGTGATGAGGACGGAGCGGACAATGAAAAAACAACAGTGAAAAGTGAGAAGGAACAGATGAGCTTAGATGAGGTGGACCTAGTAGTCACTGCCGATCCAGACCAGTTAGCCGCCTTTTACGATTCTGAGTCGGACCACGATGAGGGAGAAACGCAGGGTCTGTCATTCTAGCCGCTACTTCCGTTGATGATATTTCGGGAAGAGAAATGACATATAGAATGGGGAATGAAACAAGGGATGAAGATAAAGATTCGATTTGGAAGCTGATTACGTGTTGAGGCCTAGAGTGGTCATGGTTTCTACGGCACATTAATCGGCTACGAGGTGAACGAAGCTATATTTATGAGCCAATTGATTGGATCAGTGTCAAGCTTGTAATCATGATTATGGACGATCCGACATTAATAGCAACAAGTACGTCCATCTACTGCATTTGATTTGTTAATATAAAATGTCATGAACCCAATCGTAAAATAAAAGCGCAAATTAAGAGCAGGGTAGAACCAAGTTTGTAAAGATGATATTTGTGTGTCATACATTTGGCGCTTTTTTGATAATCTGAATCTTGTGAGCGTTGACAAAAAAATCAAAAGAAAAAGTTAGATAATCTTGCTTTGCCGAAAAACGCTCTGAGAACTATCCACATGACTGCATGACCATAGCCAGACCATCACACCATGTTCTGCACAGAACTTACGGAGCAAACAAACACTTTTAAGAAAAATGCTGTGAATATCTATGTTTTGCGTTACATAACGTAGGCAATTATGGTTGGTGTCGGAGGGTGCATAGGGAGAATATATTTTACGTTTAAAATGTTAGAACATCAAATCCACGATAAATGCAAACGCAAAGGCTCAGATGGTCCGCTTTACGAAGTAAAGTCTAGAGAGGATTTAAGTGACACGCAACTTGCGAACTGGATATGAATAACGGCAAACACAGAAATTTGAAGCTCAACCTTTGACTAGAGTATCCGGCAGATGTGTTAAACCCAGCTAGTTTTAACGATGATCACGAAAGAGTCGTAATTCCAAGACGAATGCTCGATTACTAGCAATTTGTGGCGGTAGCATTTGTCATTTTGCAGTAATATAAAGTTTCGAGACCAATCGAACATCTAGAAACTAAACAAACGTTATGTTAATTTTTACTTAGAAACATCTTCGTCTTCGAAAGTGTAGTACTCCCATGGTTCGAAAGGATCTTCCCACTCCTCAAAATCTTTAGCCTGGTACTGTTTCATTTCTTCATCTGTTAGTAAGCAGGAGTCTAGTGCTGCGCGGATCTTGGCAATCTCATCATCTTCTTGTGAAAATCGACCAATGAACACAAGTTCTTGAGCGCGATCACCAAACTCACGCGCCATGAGCTCATTGTAGTTAGGCAATTCCTTCATCGTACGCGTACGTTCATCCTCGGGAATAGCAGATATCCACATACCGCCGTTTGACAAGGTGATGTACAAACCTGCCTGCGACCACGTTGCGTAATTGTATGGTCGAGTTCCGAGCCAAAACACGCCTTTGCTTCGCAATAGGTTTTTAAATAAGCCGTTTTGCTTTGTTTCCAAGCGTTTAGCAATTTCTTGCTTATCAAGAGGTTCACCATCTTCTTCAGGATTCATTTCTTCATCTGCCTCCGCGTCGGCAGTCTCGCCCTCCTCCTCTTCGGCTTCGTTCTGGTCATGGTCATGACTATCATCGTCGTCAGAAGGAAAGGGAGGAAGCGTTGGAGACTCGACAATAACAAACTCATCCTGTATAATACCGGTCAACCGAGCAGGATGGAACGGACGTGAAGCTTTATACAAGAAAGACCCAATGCCGTACTCAACGGTCTCAGGTGTGTGTGGAATTGAAAGTGACTCGAGCCAACCCGTTTGTTGAGACGCGCGCTCGAACGAAAAGAGATCAGTGCCAATTATCATTTTGGGGTTCACTCGGCCTTTGATCGTGCGCTCAATTTTAGCGTACGAGTTAAGACGACGCAAGACCTTTTCAATCGCTTCCAAGTCTTTTGAAGAAACCAAGTCAGTCTTATTGAGCAAGATGATGTCTGCAAATTCGATTTGATCGATCAATAGGTCAGTGATCGTACGTGTATCACCCTCAGGAAGCTGACTGCGGTTCGCCTCAACGTCGGCTAGCATACGCGGGTCATCGAAAACGTGAAAAAAAGTAGCAGCATCTACAACCGTCACGCACGTGTCGAGTAGCGCAATATCTCGTAGCAGGGGTAATGTCTCACCGTTACGCACAAGTAGCTCATCAAGCTGAACGGTTCGAATTCCTGCCGAGGCCGAGGGCAAGGAACTGATAGCACCGGTATCGTTATCCGACGACGTTCCAGATTCTGTACGAGAACGCTTTGAACTGTTTGAAGGTACTGACGATTGGACCTTCACTTCTTCCTCAGCGCCTTCAGGTAGCTCAAACTCAAACGTCTCGGCTACTTGCATAGGTTCACTGATTCCAGAACTCTCGATCACTATATAATCAACTTCACCTTGTTGTGCGATGCGAGCAATCTGTTCAAGCAGGTCGACGCGAAGAGTACAACAGATACATCCATTTTCAAGGCGTACAAGCTGCTCCTCGCGTTGAAGAACACCAGTGGAAGCCACGAGATTGGCATCGATGTTAAGCTCTCCCATATCATTGACGATAACCGCCACGCGCAAAGCATGGTCTTTGTTCTTAAGGATGTGTTGCAGTAAAGTAGTCTTGCCACTTCCCAGGAATCCCGAAAGCAGGGTCACTGGGATACGTTTACCTTCTTTCGTCGCTGTCTCCGTCATAAGCGGTCGTTTGTTGGTTGGAGAATCCGAAACTGCACCAGCCATAGCAATCGATGATATTGTTTTCTCCGCGGCAAATTGGAAAATGAACATTGATAAAACCTTACATTCGACGCTGCGACAGCGATGATAGAATTGATACGAGCTGGTCCATGGTTGGGCACTTTTCCGACGGTATTTGTTGAGTTCTCGCCGTCGGCCAAAATGGGATTGTCATCAGATCACTGGAACAAAAACACGTGACCTTTTGTTGACAATTTTGTGCTGTTTCAAAAGAGTGATATGGATGTCAACAGGACAAATTTATCTGGCCCATACATGTGCGACGAGTTAATGACTTATCGATTGTTTTGAAGTACATGAAGACTTCGAAGACAGAACTTTTAGGATACGATATCAGCATTGTGAGAATCTTGACAACACGAGCAACGTCGAGCAATGATTATATAGAGATCTGGGTGGACCTCCGGAATGTTGTTGAATTAAATGCAACTGTATCATGTTGCCAGAAAAGTGAGGAAAACACTGTATTTTTGAAGCTCAGTTCATTGTAATCAGTCAAAATAGTCTACCTAACTAGCAACGTCATGGCTGCCGCTTCATTTGACATCGTTAAACTTTGCACTTTAGAAAATCAACAGATGTGATAAATGAATTGCAAACCTTTTTCTGTTTTGACATGGATTCCCTTGTCGGACAATCAAATAGTTGGTCAGGATTCATGCTGAAAAACTCATGTTGCTGTTATTTTGTAGAGGCATCTCCGACGACGATGTTTATTCCGGCGGCGATGCTCGGTCTGCGGTCGCCGTCGGAAATGACTATGGACGACTCACTGTCGTATATTAGCCAACAGCTTAGTTGTTGTAGCATTCATCAAATCTTTTAGGCATTTGCTGTATCCAGCAATCCCAAGATAATTTGTTTACGTTGTATTGCAAAACTACCGCAAAGTCATACTATCATATCGAAGGTTTGACCTGAAAACAAGCGAGTTCGTCACGCCAAGCTGCTTGCACATGAATACAACTTCGTACGCGTGGTTTGCGCTGGATTAGGAGTAACATATTTTCGGATACGCAACCATTTGCTGTAGAGTTGATTTGCTTTTAGAACAAGAGGGATACATATCAAATGATTCGTAGATTTGCAATTGCGACAGAAATTACTCTGGAGATTGATTTGTGCGATCATCAAGATGACAGGACTAATAAATCAACTACCTTAGCAGTTTGACACTCTTTGATACTCGGCTGTGATGAGAATTTGTTGCTGCAGACAATTTCAAATACGCGAAGCTTGCAAACTGTCTAGATTGTTAGTCTAATTGTCCGCGAAAAATAACGCCAGATTGCGTTACGATATTATTTTGAGCTGTGTAGCTGCAAGTTTCATCGAATTTGCTTGGTTGAAAGGCTAGGAGCTAGCGAATTCCTCAATAAGCTGAGAGAGGATACGTGTCCTATTATGTTGAGCTGACAGACACACCTTTTATAAGCCAGGGTATGTACCGTATGATGGTGTGCATACACATCACACTATTGACGCTCGGACTTAAAGTGCCATAATCATGTGCACTTTGTATAAGTTTGCTACTTTGACTCTTTGAATTCACATTAGCGAACTCAAAGATGTTATACTCATGTGCTCCTGAAGCGGAATGGCGAGCCTTTAAAGTAGCAAATTCGCTCTGGTATTTCAAGAGTACATAGTTTAAGACAGATGCTAAATGTATTCGTTTCTTATCTTTCATAATAAACTGTCAGGCTTATAACGTGCGGCTAGCATCCCATGTGTTCCTCACAACCCTTTTTCAAAGTTCCACAGTCTTCAAAAATACAGATATTCTGATACCCGTGAATATTCATAATTACTCCAAGTCAAATTTGAATCTCGTACAATGGTATCGTACTGTAATTGGTAAAATTGTATTAAACATGTGCGAAAGAATACAGTACTTGCCTTGTGACAATACTTCTCGGAACTGCTGAAGATGTGGCACTGATGAAGACGATGGAACTCTGTCAATGAGGTATCCGCGGAACGCGTGGGCTATTATTGTAATGGGGCTACACGTGCACTGTATGAAATGTCGATGGTGTGTACCGTGCATAAGTGTGGATTACACAAGTTGGTGTGATCACACAGTGGTGTGGCTACACCGTAATAAGAAGCCACGATTACCAGTAGTAATGAATATTGATTAGGTTTTACTATATTAATTAAAAAAGCTAAGATTTTAGATGTTGGCGGCTCTAGCGCAACTTAAAACAATTAAATAGAGCTTCAATTTTGAACAGAAGAGTTGATTTGCCTTGGTTAACGTTTTGGGATACTCTTCGAGGTTGTGGATTGCGATCCGCTACACTCGCACTGGTTGTTGTAAAGGACATAGAGTCAATGACATTAGCTTAGCTTCCTCTAATCAAAGAGCTGCGGCAGCCCTGCCGCACTTGGTAGCACTCATAGTCGATTTACGCCTGAGTCGTTACGATTGATCCTCTGTGAGGATGGAGGAATACTCCTTTCTGCCCCAGGGCATGCAGGACGGGTTTGATAAGCTGATGTCCCTGTTCGGCCCTGAGGGCGTGGGGTATCTTGTTTCGAAAGGACCCGAGGCGATAAGCGCCCGCCTAGAGGCTGTTTCAAACTATGAAAATTTTGTGCTAGAGCACTCACAGCAGAAGCTGTCAGCATCGACTGCGACCATGACGCCACCGTCGGCAACGGAAGATTCCTCCTGTCCCAGGCCGCTCATGATGAGCGTTAAGACCTTCGAGGGTAAGGATGGAGGGAATCTCCTGGTATGGGTGAGAAAGGTCAAGATGACTATGACATCCGCCATGCTCCAAAACGAGCAACAGCGCGTGGCGCGAGCTATCTCCAAGCTCGGGGGCCGAGTGCAAGAATATGCATTGACGTGCGGTACTTCGGTTGAAGCGGCGTCCACCCCCTGCGCGGAGCTGAAGCTGCAGCTTTTGCGAGTTTTCTCGCTGCCTGACCAGGCAGATCGCGTACGGTCGCATTTTCCTGACGCCCGACAGGGGAAGAAGGAATTGATTGACTTTGTCCAAACGCTGCGTACTCTTATTGCCGGGATGGTAGCCGATCCTCTCCTCGAGTTGGTCGCAGTGACCTTTTTTATAGAGAGCCCCCGCGTTGGTGTGGTCAAATAAAAAGTCTTACGTGTGCATTCAATTTCAACTGAAGAAGCAGTGATTGTGGTATTGAATGCCGAATTCAGTTTTAAGCACGAAATGTTTGGAATGCACACCGTCAGAGCTCGTCGAGCGGACCTAAGCCAATGGATCTCAGCTATGCTGAGAAAGAGGAGGGAGAGTTCCGAGCTGCCGAGCAGCGTTTAAATACGGTGTTTTGTCTGTTGGGACACTCGTCACCTTCGGACTGGCTGCCCCCTGTGCAAGGCGCGTAAAGGTTGGTCGACATTTCGCTTCTAACCAGTCTGATTTGTCGCGAGGAAATGAGAAAAATCAGTAGGCGCGGGGCGCCGTACCGGAGAAGAACTGAGTTCTGTTGAGCCTCAAAGAGGTAGAGGGCAGCGGGGCCGAGCCTTGAAAAGCTTTGTGCTCTTGATTACGGAACTTGTGTGCAAGCCGGGATTGCTGTTCGTAAAAGCTGCCGTGAAAAGCTTTGAAAAGCCATGGAAGATCCTTATCGATTCCGGGGCGTCGGGCAATTATGCTCGACGCTGCAAGATTGAAGGACGTCAGTTGTCCGCTGAGGCGCTGGAAGCGCGGTTGAGTGCCACCGTCATTGTTCGCTTAGCAACGGGGACTTGTGTCACTGAGCCGAGGGTTCCTGTGAACCTCGCTGTCAAGTTTCTTGATTTTGATAGCGTGGACCCTTGCCTAGTCTTAGACTTGGATGCAAGGTATGACCTTATTCTTGGTATGGCATGATTAGCACACCATGAGTCTTGTATTGATTGGATGTCAAAGACCTTGGGCGCTCAGCGTACGTCTCCCGGTGGAGTTTTGGTTATTCATGAGCCCACCTCTGCTGGGCAGCAGAAGCGCTATTGGCGCGGTCACCGGACCGGGACGGTCAACGTGCCGGCTATCGAAGTATCCGAGTTGACAAACACCAAAGGTGTATTGGACAAGAGTCCCGAGTGTGGCTCGCGGGCTAAACGCGGGGGTGCACGTAACCCACTGAGCACTGCTGACGGTACGAAGCAGTTGCTGCGTGCCAAGAATCGCATGGTCAAACGAGATCCGAGGCATCAAGGGCAAGGCCCTTCTGATGCGCGTGGAGTGGCACGTTATTCACTGAACAAAGACTGCGGAAACAATGTTGCTGATAACATCAAGGCTTCAATATAGCAGGGAGTGGGGATACTGGACGACGCAGAGAGCGTATTCTTACTGGTCCCGATGAAACGGAAAAAATATAAAGAGGAGACGGCGAAGCCGTATAATATCTGCAAGACGCAGAGCGTTGACCCTGACCCCAGATTTTGTCTACCGTAGACGTTTGCGCACAGCTATATACCCTTGTCAACGGTATGACAAAAGAGGAAGACGGCAAAGTCATCCTCGAGGCTATTCCCGCGGCGGAAAGCTCTCCGAGCTCGTTTTTTTGTACCACAAAAAATCCCGATGGAAAGGTACCACGCTCGACTTCCGGCCCATGAAGGAGGCGCTCCTGTACTCGCAATGCGGACTATATCTGTGGTGCTAGCCCCTGGCGAAACCGCTGCAGATAATTAGGAGCTTTTGAACGATGGGTGCAGCGGCATCGGAAACTTTCTTCGCTGTCTACCTTACAGCGAAGCCATAAGGAAGTGGCCAAGATGACGCGAAGGTCATGATTCTTTTGATCATAAGCGTCTACGACGTCTGGGCAATCTTGCCGAAGTGGCACTTCAAAATCCTAAGAGTTCTCGGAGTTTGGGTATCCCCGCCACTTCACAAGATATCGCGCTGAACCCCGTCGACGACGTCGACATGCAAGGCGTTCCACGTGGTAGTTGACGCCACCATTCTCATCGAGAAGCGTCAGCGGCGGTCGATGACGATTTGGTCTACCGCCGCTCGGTGACTCGCGATGCTCTTCGAGCGTTATAGGATAAGGTCTGCCGTCATCGGCATTCTACCGAGCATTTTGCCGAGGTCGCCTACCGCTGTGCGAAAAATTACAAGAGCATGATGCACTTTGTGCACCGACTGCTTCACGTTGGGGATAACCGTGCTCTGTCAGAGCCGCTCCTAACCATCCAGACGAATACGTCACTTCGTGCGACAGTGAGCGCCTTGCGCCGTTGAAATCGAGAAATACTGCACACCCTGCTCAGAAATAGTTAGTGGTTCAGCTTCTGGGTAGCCGAGCGCCTTTGGCCACCGCCACAGCGCCAACGCTTTCATGTTCATTTGCGCCGGAAACTAGTACGGCATAAGCAAGCCCACATAAAACACCAGGTTAATGCGCATTCTTCTCGGAAGGTTCAGCGTATACGCAAGGCCTCGCTTGGCCACAACCTTAAGAGGTCCAATAAACCTTGGACGGAGCTTTGTCTTGAAGACAGCAGAGACTGTACATGTAGAGAGATTTTAAGCATTTAATATGACCAGGATTCCAACCTCAAAGTCTCCAACATTTCTTCTGCTTCTTCCATCTGCATATTCTTTCTGCATGTCTTAGCTTTCTGCCATCGCATCGCGAATGTGTCGTAAGACACTCGACATCAGCAAGCCGCTCAGCCACTCCTCCTTTACCAAGCCGAGAGCCATGAGATGGCGGCGTCAGGGGGACGCGAGGATTAATAAGCCCTTTTACGTAGAAAGGCGTACAGCCGATAAATTAGTGCACCACATTGTTCAGATCAAAGTCTACGAGTGGCATCATAGCGCTCTAGCACTTCAACGTCTCAGCGCAAAGGCTGCGAAGAACGTCTTCAACGACGCGATTCACGTGCTCAGTCTGACCAAATGTCTAAGGTAGGTCAGCTGTTGACATAGTCAATTCGACGCCCAACACCTTGAAGATTGTAAACCAAAACGTCCCAGTGAAACGCGGGTCTCTATCAGAGAACATTGACACCGGGAGTCCATATTGTCGAAAGACACGATCCACAAACAGCGTCGCTGTACCCACACCATTGATGGTGTCCGACACTGCATCAAGATGAGCCATCTTGCTCAAACGGTCTACAAAGACCTCCGGACCCGTGTTGCTCGCGGAGTCCTTCGGTAGGCCAAACACGAAGTCCATACTTATGGACTACCAACATCCGGAGGGTACCGGTAAACTAGCCACGGGCGCCGCCGCATTCGGAGAGAACTCGCCCTCTGACACGTTTCACACGTACGCACATTTGTTTTCGTCCATTTGTAAAGCTTGGGTAACCAATAGTGGTAACTCACCGAGCTGTACGTCGTCTCACGACCGAGAAGACCACTGAGTGGGGTGTCGTGGGACTCTTAGATTATACGATATTTCAAATTTCTCGTCGTGAGAAACCTCAATTCGTGGCGTATCTGTCGAATCAGTGCTATAATAAAGCAGCCCGTTATTAAACAAATATCGGTGTTACTGTGCGCTTGAACGCGCTGACAGATTCTTGTCCGAGTTTTCAGACTTCTTGCTCCCAAAAGCCTGTGGCAGCGCTACATACATACTTTCATCCGCGTATCAAGCGCGGATCCAATTCGCCACTGACGACGTCAACGTCGTGGTATGAGGAAGCTAATAGTCTGGCGAGCGTGTCAGCGCATCAGCCAAAGCATTCTGCTTTCCTGGCTCATACTTCACATCGAAGTTATATTTTGCAAAGAATGAGAGCCCTCCGGCCATCCTCTGCGAGAGGTCAGGCGACTGAGTCGCAGTGCGTAATGACGCATGATCTGTGTAGATCACAAACGTTTCTGAGTTAGGCCCTGAACTTGACAAGTGCATACTTCATCGCAAGTAATATCTTGACGTGGAATGGGTAGCTTCTCTCCGAAGCTTTAAGCTCGCGAGATTCTAACGCGATAACCCGATCTCGCCCCTTGGCATCTGCTTGCAGTGCACAGCCGATGACAAAGTCCGAAGCGTAATCGACGAAACTGAAAGGATGATCGGGATCTGGCAACGCCAGAATTGGTGCATGAAGGAGACTGTCGTCGACCCTGTCAGAATCCTCCCGATGCTCGGTGTCCCAACATCATTCCGCATCCTTCTCAAGGAGATTTGACAATAGCCGTGTCATTTCCGCATAATTCGCGCGATACTTGTGCAAGTAGTTGGCGAGGCCAAGCCAGTTGCGCAAATTCTTTTGGTTCCTTAAAATCGGTCAGCTCACAATGGCCTTAATCTTACGCTTTCTAATCAAGCACCCTGGAAAAGAAAATTCTTCTGCGCCGAAAATGCACTTATCGGCATTAGCATACAGCTTATTTCATCGAGCACCGCTCTCAAATGGATGATGTGGTTTTCCTCATCTGCCCTCCCGTGCACCGCACGACTGTGGACGAAGCTGTCGTCGAAGTATGTCTGTGCATACTCTCGGTGGGGCCTGAACAATTGCGTCACACGACGATTTCATGTTGCTGGTGCATTTGACAGCCCTTGGGGCGTCATCAGCCACTCCCAGAGCATACCGCTCAAATTACTCACCGCTGTCAGCGTAATATCACTCGCTCTCATGAGCAATCGGTAATTACCATCGATCGAGTCGAGTACGCTGTGCCTTGCACAGCCAACAAAGTTGTTCTGGAGAACACCCTTTATAGGAATCGAAGTCTATGCCGGAATGATGGCAGCGGTTAGCTTATTATAAGCGTGAACGATACGCCACTTGTCGTTTGGCTTCCGGATACAAAATATGGGTGTCAAATGGGGAGATTGCTCTCACGCACCATTCCTGCAACGTGCTTTGCACGAAAAAAGGCGTCAATGACGTCACACTGCTTTTTGGGCAGGGGCCATTGGGATGTTACGCTGTATTTGGTCCCGGAATCTGGTCAATCTCATGACGCACCTCGGTCTGAGAGTGAGTCCGACGGCGGGTCTTTGGAAACGACGTCTCAAAATTTCTTTGCCAAAAATTTTACAGAACCAAGGGATCCTCAGGAGCGACGATCCATTTGGTGCGTTCAGCACCCACTCAGTGTCCTCCAGGATACCTTCATCATGATACCTTCATCCAACGAGTTAATCTCCTCGTTGGGTCCCATGATGACCACCTCGTCCAAATTGCCTGCCTTCAAGGCACCGCCAAACCCTTCGATAGAGATCTCATCCAGCTCAAGAAGAGAATAAACTCAGCTTGTGTAGTGGCCGCGGGCCCGACAACGTAGACGCCTAACGATCGAGTGATCGCGACTTTCGCTTCAGTAATAGGGTTCGCAGAGCGGATGCCGTACTACACAAGAGGGTGTAAGACCGAACGCGAAACGTGCGCATAAGAACTGCCCTGTGGGCAGCCTCCATTTGCTGCCCCTGTGCCTCGTCGAGGCGATTGTTAACACTACTACTTGCTTCGGAAACCGAGAGTTCGGGGAACGGAAATGGTGCGGGCAAGATTTGAGCTGGGCTCATGTTGCGCTGTTGCGCGCTTCATCTTCCTCGTTATCTATGCTAAGAAAGAAGTATCCGACTCGTAGTCGATTTCCTCCAGTTCCTTGGCAAGGAAATCCGTCGCCCGGGGTGGGCGCGGTGTGTATCTCCCGGATGCCGAGGGCTCGGGATGTGCTTTCCGTGAAGTCGCGGACGTACTGTCCGGAGATGCACCCTGTGCAAAAGTAAAAGAAGGAGGAACCAGCTAGGCTAGGTGTTTCGCGTGTCATGGACACAGGGCTCATATAGCGGAGTCTGTTTAAGGTTGTACTTAAGAACATAACGGTGACGCGAGCCTCGTATGAGGCGACTGTTAAACGTGAACTAAGGATATTCACCAATTTGACTGAAGAGAGTATCTCGGGGTTAGATGTACCCTTGTATGGAAGGGCTGGTCCCACAATATGGTATGACCGTACATAGGTGTGGATTACACACATTGGTGTAATCATACAGTAGTGTGGCTACGCCGTAACAAGAAACCACTACGTGGCAGGATTGCCAGTAGTAATGGATATAAACTTCTACTATATTAATCAGGTATTACTACATTACTATATTATTGAGAAAAACCCAAGACTTTAGATATTGGCGGCTCTGCCGCATCTAAAACATTAAAATACAGGCTCAATTTTGAATAAAAGAGTTAATTTGCCTTGGTTAAGAGTTTTGGGGTAGTCTTGGAGGTGGCGAATTGCGATTTGCTGCACTTGTCCTGGCTCTTGTAAAGAGCGTAAGGATGGAGACCTTAGCTAAGCTTCCTCTAAGCAAAGAGCTACGGCAGGCCCGCTGCAATTATCCTTACCTGGTGCAATACGTAGGATATTTAATTGAACAAAATATATCTGGTTTGATTAAACTTAATTCGAAGTATGTGTCGCTGCCGAAAAAGATAAGCAAACTTGGTATGAAGTGCTCGGTTCCGCTCTTTGGTATATTGTAAAAAAACATTCTCTGTGCGTATATTATCGCGATCATTGAGTCCATGATTCTTCGACAAAAGTGCAAGGTGCATGGCAACCTAGTCGCTGAAAGCATTTGCTGTCAATTTGACGACCGAGTCATAGTAGATTTAGCAACACACGAGTTACTCGACTATCTATCTTTTGGGGCAGCTTAAAACTCATACTTTGAGTTGTCCTAGCAGAAACATTTGGTGATCCAAGATTTGGTACCGATGAACGATGGCATAAAGGCGCTTACCAGCTATGAGAATGCGCTGGCGAGACACATCCTGGAGCGTCTTTGATTAGGTATTGGTGGAGATCCAACTGGCTCTCACCGCGAGACCAACTATGCTAAGCGTATGGTTTAGGCATTGTTAAATCCTATCATAAAGTTCGCAAAGTTGAGTAAGTTTTACATTTGGCAATGCTGCAGATAGAGCAGCAGCGCTTTCATCTGTCAATTTGCAAGCCTATCGGCCGCGCAACAATGAGCTATTACATGCGATACCTCTGTAGTCAGAGATTTTTCAGTCGAAACAACAGTTGTTGCGGGTGCTCGCACCGCCATAGCCGTCTTTCCGTGTGCGTTTTTTAACTTGTCTACCCGTCTAGGGACGCAAGAGTTAGTGGGCTATTATATGAGGTTGAGATGATGAATGCAAAACTGACTCTTCCAGAAACGCTAACGATTGGGGTATTCAGCTCAAATTCAGCTTTCATTTCCACCGTTCTTACTTTGTGGAAGCAATGAGTATCGCATAGAATGCAAATTGTCGCTTCCGAGCCGCAAGGGACCTACATAATATACGAAAGTGGGAGCTCTATGAGTGCGCGACGTCCGATGGATATCAGTCAAGCTGATCAGAAAAAAAAGAATTTATTGGGTGGTAGCAGAATCAAGCTGGTGAGATTCTTTCCGCTTTAGCACCGTGTCGCCACTTAAGACTGAGAGAATCTTATATTAAGGGAATGACAGAGACCTTCCTCCGTCTGCACCAGAGCACTTCACATTGGACTGGCTTTTATGAGCGAGATCCTGATCTGGCTTTGAGCACTGGATGCACCTGCATTCTCCTTGAAAATTCAGTGTATAACTCAACTTCTTCTTTACATTGACCGCGATCACAGCTTAGTCCTTTAGTCGGCAGATACTGGTTGTACCGCTAGAATATTTGCATCCAGTAAGCCTTATCGTTCCTACAACATATTCGTATGTTCCGTCTCAGTTGTGTTGCATTTGTTTGTCTTGAATCTCAGCTATATGTTCGCACATCTTGCGGGATACACAAAATCACATCAAGATGAAATCACCGCAATTACTGCGAAGTGTAGCCAGAATGACATCAGCTATTCAATGCCTACCTATACTAAAATTCTAAGACAACGAATTACTCACTGGGTCAATATTATGATAGAATTTTCTGGTTTGCAGCTGCAGCAGAACTTTATCCCAGCTGATGTTTCTGTATTTTTAGCTTAACCAGAGGGCATAATTAAATGCATTCGACAGCAAGCCTCAAGTGAAGCAAATCAACAATTTGACCCGTTGCCACCCTCTATCTATTTGACACCTTTCCAACTAGAAGACTTTATTCATGATCGCCTCATGGTTAGAAAAAGGCAGGATACAGTCGCCGACGCAATGATCGCAACGTCTGATTTGAGTATTGCTGTTCGCATTGTCACGGATATCCCGGTGAAAGTACCATCTTAATTAATAAGTAGGCTACCAGACCCCAAAATGGGAATAATCATATTCTTGCTTGGCCTAGTGATTAGATGTCTCATTCACAGTCAGACCTGGTTTCGAGTTAAATTTTATACGACAAGGGATTTCTTTGACATGCATCACTATCGTGGGTTCGAATCCATGATAGATTGTAGGTGCTTTGCGCGGAGATTTATCCCCCCCTGAGGATACTGAGAGGTGTAAAAAGACTAAAAAATTGAAAATTGTGATTATTCATATTTACAGTCAGCTTTTCTACTCGATTACAATAATGCCAACTTCGTCCAGCGCATTGTCAAGCTTCTCTATGTTGGCGAGTCGACATTTACACAGCAAATTGGTATATGGATGTAGCGTTTGCCTTCCCAATTTTTTAATGATCAATAAAGAGTGCCTGGTCACTCAAAAGGTATGTCACGTCATCGGTCTTGTTTATGCCCACGATTTGCCTGTCCACGCACTGACTTATGGACGACCTGGAATTTCCACGCTTTGTGTAAATCACTGAATCAATCCCTCATACGCGTTGTTTTTCTTACCGCACAAGACAACCGGTAAATGCCGGAAACACCATCCTGTACATAAATTTGGGAGGACGCACATGACTATGCCACGTATCAGACAGCTTAACAAATGCCGGAACCACCATCCTGTACGTAAAATTAGGATCAACGCACCATGACTGTGGCACGTGTCAGGCGGTTTGCATTCAATTTTTAGATATATAAGCAAGCATTAGGCACCACAACACTTTATTCATGTCAGCGGCTTTTGCGAGGTAAAATTTACGTCAATTCAACGCTTTAGTAGCTCGCTGTCGACCTATCGCAGCGCGACCAATGAAAGACATAAGAATCGAAGGAGAGCAAGCTTTTCAAAACAGTAGTGAACCCTTCGCTAACAGCAACTCGTGGGATATAGATTAGATATTTGGTGAAATATTATTTTTTTGCCAACATATAAATCATAATAAGGACGAACATCGAAAAAAATATTTGGTATAAAGAAAGACTTCTCGCACAAACGCTTTTTTTAATTTATTTGACAATTTCGTGTCTAGCATCACAAGACAAATTGTCTTGTGAGCTCGTAATAATGCTTAGCGAATCCTACATATGTAACTACCATCCTCAAAAATTGGGCGAACACGCGATGATACTATGCTTCACTTCTTTATATCGCAAAGAAGACTATCATTTTGATTGAGCACGATTGCGGCACTTAATTGTAATGAATCACTCAACCATTTTGGGAGTGGGACGTACGTCTTGCGGCACTGATGTGGATCACGGCCCCAATTTGAATCATTCCCATTGAATACAGAAGCTAGTAGATAGTGTTATACTTCAATATGAGTTTTTTCAGCTTGAGCCTCTTGTCAGCTCAACAAAGGCCAAACATCCGAGCATCGAGAGCTATAATAATCTCAACAATCACCAGAACGATTTTTTTGAATTTTTATCCGCTGGTGCATTTACTATTTTCAAAATTTATACTTAACCAGCTTTAGCATTTAAGCCGTGCCAGAAACGACAGACTTCCAGCGCCTTCATAATGGTGCTGTTTGATGCAAAGTCAGCTTATTTATCTTCGGTACAAGACATATTAACTCCATGTCGACACACAATAACAAAAAAACGGCGAAGGCTGGTCATGTTGCAGTGTGTTGATTTTGATCGACATCCTCACTCAGTCCAGCATGTCAAACGAACCGGGAGGTTATCAAATTGTTAATTCGAAATGAGTTTAAGCCCGTAGAGGAATGTTCAAAACTTTTTTACTCAAACACAAGGAGTTGGACCAACTAGCCCCAGCACTACGGTCTTACTGCGCAAATGCTTCCTTCGGTTACCTTTCAACGCAATTTACCCATTCCGTCTGACGATCGACTCAAAATTGGTCAGCTGTTGACATATTCAATCTGATGCCAAGCACCTTAGTTAGCATTCGACAAAGCTTGTCTGTAAAACGCGGACTTAATTTGATACAGAAATTGGCAGGACATAATGGTATAATACTTTGTTCAAGGAGTAACTCGGATTTTCCTTCACCAGTCACATGTCGCTGATAGCAGCGAGATGAGCATTGTGTCTCATATAACCACTATGATCTCTATGCCGGGGCGACTTGACGAGAGCTATTGGAGCCCGAAAATAAAGTCCATGCTTTCGGACTGTCAGCGAAAAGCTGGAACCAGCAGAGTGGCATAAGACGCCGGTGCATATGAAAGAAACTTAATTAGATGACGCATTTTCACAAGCGCGCACATAGGAAGCCTCACTTGTACATGTCGAAAAACCAAAATGTAGCGCTCAGAAAACGGTGCGTCAATTCTCTTCTGAAGCGGTTGCCCGAATGGATATTATGTGCCTCAGTCAGGAATATATAAGTGTTGTTTGATGATGTGACACTGACACTTGAGTCAGTGCGAATGCAAAAATCTTGAGTACATGGGTTAGCAAGGCTGACGTAAAAATGCGCGCTTCGACAGGCGCCATATGAGCTCTCAAATCTGTTGCTTCCCATAACTCTCAGCTATTGCATCTGAGCCGTACCCTGAAAGTATCGCCTCATCAATTGGCAAAGTCACTATTATGACATACACAAACTCATAACCGAGACAACGCGAAAGCACATCCTCTACCAAATTAAGCAAACCCGTTTTGCATCGTGCCTTAGGTATACTGGGTAAAAAGTGATAACCCCTTTGATATCTCTGTGAAACCTGTGGTGCTGTCATCGCTATGCGCAACGGCACGAACTCTGTATGGATCACAAGCTCATAGATGGGCATTTGAACTTGACGATGGCAAGCTTCATTGCAAATAACTGTTTTGATATTTGCAGCTGCTATAAGCTAGCGAGACCCAAACGTAATCTCGCTTCCATGTCCTATCGGCATTTGGATGGACTCTATAGCCCTTTAGAAATACTAAAGTGTCGCTCACGACATGGAATAAAAGATTAAGATTCGGAAAAATCAGTATTTGGATGCACATATGGCCTTCTTTTTTAAGCCTCAGATGCCGACTTGTTAAACTTCTTCCAAAAAGATGGTCGAGAAGTCGGGCAATGGCGGTATCGTTTGTACTGTACATGTTGCGAGTAGTGGACCAGACCAAGACACATTCTCAAACCTTTCTGATGAATAAACACTGATTAATCTACGATTGTCTCTTGAACCTGCAGCGAGCGTTGCTTCCTGTTAAAGCAACCCAGAGAAAAAGGTTTGGCGGCTACTACGACACACTGGTTCATATAAAAATTGTTTCTTTGAGCGTATACACCCAAAACTTCTGGCCAGTTTTCATTGACATTCCATATCTGGTTTTCACTAGCCTGCAAAACTATGGACAAATATAGCGAAAAAAAAATTGTGCATAACCACGATGTGGCATAATGACTACGGCTAACTCGATTGTTCGCTAGGGCATTAGATAGTCACTATGGCGTAACTAGCCACTCTCAGAGCATCCTGCTCAGGTAAACATAGAGGATATCGCTTTCTATTATTGGATATTGGTCATATGCAATAACCAGTTTGAGATCACCAAACGAAGTATAGCCAACATTGCTTTGTATCAGCAAACGTTCTCTTAGAATCGGCGTTTTTGTGCTCGAATTATGGCTGCATTCAGCTGATGGTAAGTCTATACGATTCTCCACGTGTCGATAGCCTTCAAACACAGAAAGACACCGCCGAGTTGAGTGATTTACTATTGCACACCCAACATGTTTTCCGCTTCCCACAATAAAAAGCTCTTATGGCGTATCACTGATCCTGTGCAAGGACCAATGCCGTGTGACACAATATTATGAGACACTTCCCTCTTCGGGGGTAACACGCGTGATGAGCCACAATGTCTTGGCCATCTTCAAGAAAAGATAAAAGCGATCATATTCTCACAGGCGGCTGCCCCACACTTTGTTCCAAGCACTCTGTGAGTGCCCTCAATGTCATCTATAGCCCTGAAAAATGACGATCCGAGCTCCACCAATTACATTTTTTCACTCGTGAATGGAGTGGCAGGGGTGGGCCTACGGGTTATAAGTCCTCCTCACTTACCCTGGCAGACGTTTTCTGTGTGAAAAGTATCACTCGAGAATATGTGCAAAGAATTACAAGCTAATGAGGTCACCAAAATGGCGCGTTCAGAACCATGGTACATCTCCGTGATGCCTCATTGCTTTGTACGGTCTACTAATCACATTACTGTTTCGACAGAGATTAAATCCGGGGTCTACGACATAAAGCATTTCGCCCTCGCCTCGGCAGTAATTCGCTCTGAACACCTCGATATGCAGTCATACGTCTGATCCTAAGACCTTGACCCACTGTCAGTTATGACTTCAGAGCTCTTCTCAAGGTACCCAACAAAACCATTCCAGCGGATTATTCTGGTCAAATTCATTTCTTGCAGCGCCCGAATAAGAAAATACATGCTTCATTAGCGGCATCCAATAACATGAGCTCAATTCGACCCATAGCATGTGGTGCTCCAGCCACGCCATTAAAAGGGTAAAATTGTATCTCAGATCCAGATAGTGTTCCACGCTGCCAAAGTTTCTGATTTTCGTTTGAAAAAAATTAACATTACCTTCGAGACTCTCCTGTGCCTTCCATTTTAGCCGCACGAATACTGCATCCATATTAATTGAAATCGATACCTCCGCGTACTGTCTTTTATCTTTCAATTTTTCGCGCGTACGTAATTGTACGACCCTACTGATTCCAACAACAGCTTACGCTGCTTCCCAACGACGTGAACATCAATACCGACTTCCAACAACCCCGAGCTGTCAGCCTCGCTTCAATAGGGTCACCTCAAGCGCCCATGAGGCACGACAGAGCCCAGCTTTTCATAAAGTTCAACTCTATTCATCCACGGGGCATGTCGTTTACTCACGTTCCTTGCGTAGTCCTCGAGCATTTCGACCTCTTAGCCGAGAGCGAAGGGAACACGCGAAACGTAAATGTTATATATACCGCAAATGAAATGTTTACAAGAGCTGCGAATTTGTTCAGCAGCTGAGCGATTTCTTTCTATCTTCTCAGCATAGCGCTTGCAAAGCAACAGGTAAAATGTACTCGTAATGATTACAAAATCACCGCCATTTCAGACGAGTTAGGGCAAATAAATTTCATGGCGTGAGCTACACAACTTCGGAGACCACACAGGGGAATGGCAGTCGCCTCCGAAAAGTAGCCAGATGTCATTGTGACGATTAGAACTACAAACACCTGCGTGCAGTCCATCCGTTGTCGCCTCATTTGACCGGCAGAAAAGAACCTTGAGTAACACCGGTGCGCCTAGCTTGACGATCCAGACATCCTCAAAATTTGACGCTTCCAATTGTTCCACGTTGGGGTCTCTCTTCTACCGAGGTATCTTATATTAATGCCCCTTCTTAGGCTCGACGCGCTGTGGTTTTTTCATGAGCAAGGTGAGAAAAATCAATATATAAATCAATATGTAAAGTTTCTTATCCCAATAATGATATATCTGTCTCAGATCAGTGACATCCCGGTGTGGTTCATCTTTTCGTTCCCCTACGCTCACTTTTGACGTCCCTGCCTTTATTTCACCTGTAAATTCACAGTGACGATTGCTTCCACTCGAGCAGCACCCATCCCGGTACTTTAGCCGCGATTTCCTGACCTCGTCTAGATCCAAGATACATACAAATTGTTAAGCTGGTCCATTTGTCTAAGGGACAGGTAGTCGTATATTTTGTGTTCATTAAGGTATACTTTGCGAAATCGTCCTCCAACGACTCGGTTTTGATATTTGATACAAGGACTGCCAAGTGCAACATGGATTTTATGCGCTTTGAGCAGACAAAAAGTTAGCCTCAGACCCCCTTATTAAGCGCACGGGGGCGAGCTCGCGTGTTTCTTCCCAAAGAGAAACTGAGAGTCTCAAAGGCATTAATACCGTTTGTTTGCTCTACTGCTGCAAAAGTTTATATATACGGTAAGCTTTCTTAGATTGTTACAAAATGTATATGATCTACTATATCTCATAAGCATTATCATATTACTCTGATGCGCGGCTAGAAGCTCACTCGTACCGCGGACCTTTTCAAATTGATGTTCGTCATCTTCATAAAATACCGATATTCCATACACTATAAATACCTACATTTATGCAACGAGCAATGTGAATTTCGTTGAATTGCATCGAATTGCTTCAGTATAGCTGTATTACTTGTTTACGAATCATATGCAAGAGATTAAAGCACTTGTCTCGTCACTAAAATGTGCCTGCAATGTTACAGCCATTACTCGGAAAAAGCAAATCATGATCACAAAGAGTCGCTACTGCAAACACAAAGGAAGCACAGATCCTACCACATTGGATTTGTCTGTAGATACAAAAAGAAAGGCACCAGTAGTTTATACTCAGCGTGCAATCGTGTATAGACTCATGGCGGCTGCTGGCGCCATCGATTGCTACTGACCAAATCTCTTTACACTCTTCGTGAGCCAATCATGCGTTTAAATTCGATACAATGCATATCGGACGGCCCGACGGTTCGAACCGAGTAATGTCTAACAACACAATACTCAGACATATGCAACGTTTTATCTTTGATATTGACTTTGCAGAACTTCTTTTTTGATATTTCGCGTCGCAATTTACGGTGGAAGGCACCATTTGGACCGCCATGAGAATCAAAAGTAGATATCAACGATAGAGACCGCATTGATGAATAATACCCTGGACAACTGTTATTCTTTTTTAGTTCACCGGGCTTGAAGCCTTTTCACCTTCCCTTCCTGCATAATCACTTCTGGGCGACTAATCTTTTACATATAATCTAGAGCACGCTGGAAGAGTGTGAGTGATTTTTGTGCACGTTAGAATGGCTAATTTTAATTTCATCAAAACGAATGATGAAATGATTTTTCTCGCTCTAGACACACATTACACGTGTGTAATCACTTACCACTATGGAGTGAGGCATAGCTTGCTTACATAAAAAGATGGGAACAAACGCGCGGTAAACTTTACGGCACTTGAAAGCTCTTTTTGATTTCATTCGTAGAATATAGAAAGGAGCAAAAATCGATTCTCATGCGCAAATGAAGTCTGCACAAAAAGCGCACAGACCTCGCATAGCACCACATCGAGTCAACTATGTCTCTAAAACCAGATATTTTTGAATAACTGTACCACCTTGCCCCTTATTGGTCAGTCATTCAACCTCCTGGGACACAAAATCTATCTTGAGTTATTGCAAAAGAACGGATTTGTAACGGATCCGGCAAAGAACATACCGCTGACACCACTCTTCAAATAAAGACCAGAAGGCTTTCTAGTTTCTGCTGTCGCTCCTCCGGATTGATGCACGGATGATATTGACTTATTCGCTAGCAAAAGATACACTTTTAGCGATGTGTATGAACCGCTTGGAAGCTGTACCAGAACTCACATCCTGATTTCGCCTTCAGCTGATTTGCCATAGAAACACAGCATGACCCGATACACCAGAAATTAGCGCAAATTAATCGTGGAAATAGTGTAACTTTAATGATGCACCAACGCTTCAAACGAAGCTCTGCAGCATTCAAGGCTGACAGCTCTTTAATCTAAAAATGGCACCGCTAGCCAACAATATATATATACCGCCTTAGCTCCTGCTGTGCCACAATTAAACTACGTCATCCCAGTTTTGGCCTTGTTGGACGGGTTTAACCGAGTAAACTTCATTCAAGCCTAGAACATCATCGTGGAAAATATTAGAGCCTCGTTATAGCGACGGTGCTTGATTTTACCGGCCATTCACCACTGAAATGTTCATCAACATGGGACTTGATATTTATGTGGAACGCCGTAACGCCATCCTGAAGTGGCGCAAACAAGAGATTACCCAGTAGTCTGGGACACGTGCTAAATGTATCCCAAAAACGTTGGACCACTGTCGATCGCTTTGTGCTCATAGATGGCTGGGCCATCGGGAAATGGCGACGTACACGAAACGTCTCAAAGCGGCCAATAAGCATCGGCGGCGTGTGAGTGAAGGGCGAAAAGTCGCTGTTCACCGTGACGTACCACTTATATCTTGACGATTTCGACACTAATACGAAGAAGGTCTCATAAAAGCGCGTCGGCTGGCATGAGGCCCGGATCCTATATCGTTATTAACGACGAGGTCACGATAAAAGGTGCATCCACCGCCTTTGACCGTTGAATTAAGAACTTCATTTAGCGCTGTCGTCTTACCGTCCCACCAAAACCACTTAGTTGTTTTCACGAGCGATATCGTCATGGATCGCGTTGTTGCCTACATGAGGTTTCTGCGAGAGCATTTGCTGCGTATCGATTTTATCGCCATATATCTTACGGACAAAGCAACTGCATACTTCAAATATACTCGATCGGTATATTTTGGCTTCCAACATATGGTTCTCGATGTGAATCACGGTGCCTATTTCAATGATGGCTACCGGACACAAAGTACCAACATTGATACTGCTAACATTGATACTGCCTCTATAATCGCACTTAATTCGCGCATATGATGAAAAGGACAGATCACCTCAATCATTCCGGGCCTTTCAAGCTGGCTTCTGCAAAGTGCACATTCGCTTAGGCATCGATTAATGAAATAATTCTGCAAAGTACTTAGCATGACGCGGACGTTGAGTTGATACGCGTCACATTAAATTCCTGCGATTTACAGCATTTCTTGTCTCCATAAGGCAGCTGTAACAGATGTATATTTAGTAACAACTTAGGTGTAGGAAATGCGTTACGATGGGCGACCATGCCTCTTCTCAAAAGGGGATTAAGGTCTGGGGAGACCCATGTCGTAATTGGCCAAGGCACACGGATAGCTTATTTGAAGCGAAACCTCCGACGTTCAAGAATTTCAGACTATGGGTAGCCCTTCTGCTGACCAAAACTGTTAACGGCCTAAATTTATGCGCCGGCCCACCAAACGCTCTATCTGGATGTGAGCGACCCAATCTTCACCCTCAAGCTGTGCCGATGGGAGGGTCGATCGAAACGAAAAAGATTTTTTTGAGTGTGGCGACAAATCGACAACCACCGAGAGTTGCTCCATGCTTTCGAGGTTGCAATGTCCCAGATCTCGGCTCCGTTTTCTCATCTTCTTCATAAAATCGGTGTGTACTAGCTGCAGCTTTTACGAGGCATTTAATATTTGCTTAGACATGTGTCATTCCCAAGTTTTAAGGTATTTTTATTAATTTCTCAGATAATAAATAGAAATTTTTGTTTTAATATTGTCTTTGGGAAAGTAAAGTTCTTCAAATAGTAATTATTAATTGTCAAGTAAACTAAATTATATTTATTGTTTTGTTAAATAATCAAACTTTTACTCACGTTGTTATCTAATATTAAACGCGCTATTATATTTCTAAAAAGTAAAATTGACACTTTCATGCATACATAAAGCTTATTTTTAAAGTGATTTTCGGTGTTTAGCAGGCCACACAAAAACTATTATTATTTTTTACGCGATATCCATTTTTTTCCTGTGTTACAGTCACTGACAAATAATCACCGCGAAATGTTGCGTTTTTCTTGCACACCAAACTCCCCTAGCAATCATGGAATGTGGACGGCGTCCATATTCGACGTTGAGAACAATGTATGTGAGAATAACATAACCTTTGCCAATTACATTAAGTGCTTTTCTATTTGTGATCGTAGCATCAAATTTTTTTTTCATCGTCTGTAAGTGTTCGCTTGAGCGGAAATAACAAGCTGCCTATTAGCATCCATGCTCTCTCCATTACTCTACCGCGACAATCAGTTTATCATCGAGATGAATCGCCATGTTTTCTATTTCTTTCACATGCAAGCGACTTTTCAAGATGCAATTCTTTAATATTACTCCCTCTTTTAAAAATACCGTAGTTAACTAAAAGATTGCTTCTCAAAAAGATCACAATTTGGATAAATCCCATCACTTTTTAATGTTATTGTGATTTTTCGTTCTTTTCGAACTACCGTACCATTGTTTCTACCGATCATCACCTAAGATGAAGCGGTTCTTACTGACAAATCCCGAAAACAAGAAAGTGGTGGAAGCTCAAGGGAAGCGCCACAAA